AGTCTGTGTTGAACTGCCTGAATATGTTCAAGGGCAGGACGGCGGTCCCACTGAAACACTTTCGGTCGCATGTCGCAACTCGCCCGCCACCACCTCCTCTGAAGTCAGAAGCATCTGAGGTCGCTTCGTGCCATTCAGCGACACACTTGGCACGGACGCACTGGCACACAGCTGGCCGCAGGGCCTGCACAAGTACACGTTTCCCCCAGTGAGCCTTCTCGCACAGACACTGTGCAAGATCAGGGAGGACTCGGACTTGGTTTCCGGAACTGATGCTCCTCGTGACAGCCCCTCCTTGGCAGATTCCTCTGAATGGTGCTCTTCTCACCGAGAAGACCCCCGGAAATGTCCGATGAGAGTCGTGCTGTCCTTTCTACAGCAGGGGTTGGAGCGAAGGCTGTAAGTTCGGGCCGGCTGACTCCCAGGTAATCCTGAGGCTCCGGTCCGGCTATGTGCCCAAGGTTCCCACTACTCCCTTCAGGGATCAGGTGGTGAGCCTGCAAGCGCTGCCTCTGGAGGAGGCAGACCCAGCCCTAGCTTTGCTTTGTCCCGTTCGGGCATTGAGATGCTATGTAGACAGGACGCAAAGCTTCAGGACCTCAGACCAGCTCTTTGTCTGTCACGGAGGCCGGCAGAAGGGAATGCCGTCTCTAAGCAGAGGTCACGGAGGCCGGCAGAAGGGGAATGCCGTCTCTAAGCAGAGGATGGCCCACTGGATTGTGGATGCCATCACCCTGGCTTATCAGGCACAGGGTGTGCCCTGCCCGTTCAGTTTGCGAGCTCACTCTACTAGAAGTGTTGCATCCTCCTGGGCGCTGGCTCGTGGCTCCTCGCTGGCAGATATTTGTATATACATAGAGATATTTTTTGTTGGCTGGGCGACCCCCAACACGTTCGCTAGATTCTATAGCCTTCGTGTGGAGCCGGTATCCTCCTGTGTTCTCACCTCAAATGGATAGAAGCACTGAGAGGCCCCGGCTTCGGGTCGGCTTGCTAAAACCGCTCCAGAGAGTCCATATCGTAGACCCTGTCGAGCTCCTCCGTCCCCTTGGCAGCCAGACGTGGCGGAGCGTCCGGCGCCAGGCCTTCACTCGCTGAATCCTCGAGAACCGGTAGAAGGCTGGGTTCCATATGTAAGACCTAAGTGGATCCCATATGTGTAAAGTCCACGGTATAGCCTCGAGCCCGTGTTTCCCTGGCAGGCTTCTGTCATTCGAAGAGGGTTACAATCACCTCCATTCTCCCATATGCACCTAAGGAATGTTCATATGTGTATTGCTTCCGAAACCCCCTTCGGGAAGGTTCGAGCTTCCGTAACATCCCTGTTCCAAGTAGAACGGGTACGTTTTCCCAGTGTTATCCAGTCTTACTCAGTGGGTAGTGCCATAGCAGCAGTAGCTGGTCCTCTTGTGAAGAAGCCCTGGCCTACGCCAAAAAATAGGGGCGCAGGTGGCTTCCACAGGACACTGGAAGGGGCAGTAGCTGTGGCCCTTTGGTAGGATCCCAATTTCGTCGGTCATCCGACGTGACGTCGAGAGTGACCGATCCACGGGACACTGGAAGGGGCAGTACCTGTGGCCCTTTGGTAGGGATCCCAATTCATCGGTCATCCGACGTGACGTCGAGAGTGACCGACTGAAAGGGAACGTCTCGGTTACGTATTGTAACGTCCCATCGCCATAGCTTCTGTACCACCGCTGAGTGGCCGGGTTACCGGCTTGGCTCCTCAGCGAAAACCCGAATATGCGCTGCACCAGCTGCCTACTTATACTCACGCTGTGATCAGCAACAGCTGGATGCAATAATCGCATGCCAATGTGCATTGGCTCGTTTAGTTTACACTCGAAGTAGCCGAGACGTTTCCTGACATGGCCGACTGATGCCCATCATGTCTACCACTAAGCGTCCTTTCATGATGGTGCAGAGATTCATGCTACACTGCCAAAAAAGTTCCAGCTATGGCCGTCCCTGTGTTTCTTGTCATAGCCTCAGCCAGAGCTTGGTGTCCAAGGCTACTCCAGTCCCAGAGCTCCTCTCTCAACCTGGTCTCAGAGGTTCCTGCTAAAGCTGATCTGGTCTTGAGGTTTCTGTCTTGACTGCATCAGATGATCCTCCAACAGCTCCAGTGCTGCTTGTCACTGATGTGATTTCTACATAAATATATTACACCTGTGTGCCACATTAAAGCACAATGTTTGTGGAAATAAACAAAATTTATTAGTTTAATCAGGAGAGCAATATAATATTCTGGATATTAACTATTTCTATTATGCTTAAGCTTTAAAGTTTTAAAGAAGTTAAGCCTCTTGTTGTATTGGTTTATATTGATCAATTTACTTTTTTGTCAACAGTGCGTTAATTTGAGTAATAAAGTGTCAACCAAGTTTCTTCATTCCTCTCACAGGACACCCTGCTGGACAATAACCAATCTGGATTTAAAAGTGGCCATTCAACTGAAACCACCTTGCTGTTTGTCACTTAAGTGCTACAGAGTGCAAGTGCTGAGTCTAAATCTTCAGTTCTCATTCTGCTAGGCCTGTCTACTGCATTTGATACTGTTAATCATCAAATCCTTCTGTCCACCCTCTAATTGCTGGGCATCACCGGAAATGCACTCCACTGGTTTGAGTCTTACCTCACAGGTAGACCCTTCAGGATGCAGTGAGGTATCTAAATCACATCAACTGGTCACTGGGGTTCCTCAGGGAACAGTTCTTGGGCTCCTCCTCTTCTCTATATATTTCTATATCACTGGGAACCATAATTCAGGCACATAGTTTTTCCATTGCTATGCTGATGACACGCAGCTCTACCTCTCATTTCAACCAGATGATCCAACGGTACCTGCTCGGATCTCAGACTGCCTGACAGACATCTCAGTATGGATGAAACAACATCACCTGCAACTCAACCTAGAAAAGACAGAGCCTCTCATCTTCCCAGCCACCCCATCAGTACAGCACCATCCAACTGGGCTCAACAACAATAACCCCATCGAGTTCAGCCAGGGTGATGGGATGATTGGGGTGATCCTTGATGATCAGCTGACCTTTAAAGATCATATAGTAAAAACAGTATGATCTTGCAGGTTTACACTACACAACATCAGGAAGATCAGACCCATAACAGAGCATGCAACACAGCTTCTCGTCCAGGCCCTTGTCATTTCTAGGCTGGACTTTTGCAATGCTCTTCTGGCTGGACTCCCAACATGTGCAATCAGACCTCTGCAAATGATTCAAAATGCAGCAACACATCTTGTTTTCAATGAGCCCAAGACAGCCCATGTCATCAAGTTCAAGTCATTGAGTTCAAGTCATTGGTGTTTAGAGCCTATAGAACAGCCATGGGCTCCTCACCCCTAACTCCATCAGGACAGCTAAATCCCACACAATCTTCAAGAAACAACTGAAAACTCATCTCTTCCATGATCATCTAACTGCACCCTCATAAAAAATTATATGCCTTCACTTTTTCTGTTCTCTTTTATCCTTATCTCTTCCTGTCCTAGCTTTTACTATTTGAACGATGGCTGAAACCTTGTATAACAGGCACTTCTCGTGTTCATTGCCAATTTATGGTAAATCGCTTGATGTATTCCTCAATTGTAATCCAAATGAATAAATGTAATGTAAATTTAAAGCCAGGTAAGTAGAGAAAGTCAGACACACCATTTAAAATAGACAGATGGTTAAGTAGAAATGCCCTGAAAAGGGTTGAGTTATTATATAATCAATATAATAAATATAACTTGATAAAAATGTATTAAATATCTGTTATCTGTGGTATATTTAAACTGCAACAACACTGTGAACTTTTAAAAGATATGAATAGCATGATAACAGATATATTTGGCCATCACAAATGCATTATTATGCAAAAAGATATGAGGTCCCTTACTAAAAAGTAGTATACTTCAAGTTTATTTTAGTAAGTATACTTAAGTAAAGTTCAAGTATATTTTTAAGTATACTTTATGTAGTAAGTATACAGATATCAGTGTACTAGTAGTATACTTGTAAGTGTACTACTTCAATACTCCTTGGGACTAAATTGGCCCACTTTCTAGTATATAAAACTATATACTAATAGCACACTTGAATAAACGTCTTTTTCGTAAGGGGTGCGTTGTCGGCACGAGAGACTCACTCAAGACTGGCAGATCATACATAGTATAAATAGGCTAATTGGAACGCAGCACCATTTTACCAAAGTACACTTTAATAAATCTATAAGACTTATTTTAGAGCTGTCGTGACGGATTGAGCGGGAAAGTGCATACACACGTCCTTCCGCAAGACTCATGCAGTTTTTAACCGTGTGAGGGAGAAAAGTTACAATTGTATCTTTAAGTGTCCAAACTACTTTGTGGACAGGTGTAGGCTACATAAACAGACCCTGACCTGAACTCTGACACGTCTATATAGTGTATGCGCGCCCTCTAGCGGAGAAACTTTAGCTTGAGGATGAGGAGAGGATGTTTCTTGTTACATTATTACAGTTTAATGTTTTATGAAAGCCTAATGCGTCTTAAACTGTCAGTTCACATGACATATGAGCCTCTTACGATGTTGCTACAATCACCTAGCTTACCATACTTTATAACGAGTGCATTATTTATCCCACAAAAGCCATACTACAAGTCCAAATGATGACAAAAAGTTTAGAGCTATTTTTAAATTATGTTATGCTTAAGATACTATAAATATAGAAATAACGATGTTTTTGTCTCACACCAACGCCAAACTTATTCGTGACTAGACGTGTTTCCTACAATATTGCGTGAATATTTGTTTTGTTTTAATGTACTGATTTACTGTGCCGCTGTGAATTATGAATTAGATGCGGATGGGAGGGAAAAACTCTGAACTGACATATGAGAAAGAGTGAGAGAGAGAGAGAGAGAGAGCGAGAGAGAGAGAGAGAGAGAGAGAGAGAGAGAGAGGGGAGAGAGAGGTGAATCTTTCTCTCTTTTCAAAGCTGTATCAGTGGACACGCGCACTTGCACAGATTGCAGTTGCGTCTCATATATGAAGAGACTCTTCACACCACAACCATCAAAAGAATTCATCTGGAAAAACCGCCCTCAATTCCACGATTGCTCAATAATGCTGCACGCTCACTTGTGAAACTTCAGCGGACACGCATGAGGATCAGAGCGATTTCTGGCTTTGAGTCTGTGAAGGAACTATGATGCTTAACTTATTATTTCAGAGCGCATGTAAAAAGTGAATAATCCATCCGCAGTCTACTTCATCCAGGTCGCCCTTCATCCAGCATGCTCACTCTGACAGTAGTATTTCTTCTCGTGGTGAGTACACAGTCTCCAACTCAGTATGCAGTTCTAGTACTTTTTCTTGCTCTTGTCACAAGAAAGCAACACATCATTGATATAGCAGACTAGTGAATGAAGACCGTCACTGTAAAATTAAGTCAAAAAAATTATATGATTTTTGTCTTCTGATTGTGGAAGTTGTTTCAGATTAGAATGGGAATTACCTGTTTGTTTGTTTATTTATTTATTTATTTAGTGAGTGAGGGATTTTGACTCTTTGATAACACTTAATTTGATTATTTTATAACATGTAGGCTATATGTCTTCATATATATGAAGAGTTTATTTGCCAAAACAGATAACTCAATTTTTATTAATTTCCATAAATCATGTTTTTGTTATTGTTATCTTTTTATTGTGTTAGTTAGCTGTTTTTTCTTTTTAGTTATTATTAAATAATCGAAACAACCCAACTGCAGTTTGATTGATATTAATGCAGGATAAAAAAAAAAAAAACATGAATTTTGAACATTTGCAAATGATCTGTTTTTGCATATATATATATATATATATATCACAGCATGCCTTTATAGTTTATAATAAATATAGTTTATAATATTATAGTTTATGCCATTATAGTTTATTACACTTTATAATCAATATAATAATGAATTATAATCAGTCATTATAATCAGTTGTAATAATGCATTACAATACATGATCAAACAACACAATATTATACATTATAATGCATTTTACCATGCAGGCATGTTGTAATGCTTTATAGTGGTTTATGAAATCATTAAATACATCATGAAGTGTATAATAAAGCATTATGAACACTTTTATTATCTAATGCCTTTATTTGACCCTCTAACTCTAACACTTTCTATTCTATTATAATTCTACTTTATCTATATTTATCTTTTTCATTTTTTTGTTCTTTATTTAAAAAAAAAAACAACAACAACAAAAAACAAACACTAGCTTTCTATTTTTTCTATTCTATCTACTTGTTTTTCTTTGTTTGTGTGTGTGTGTATATGTGTGTGTGTGTGTGTATGTATAATATATATGTATGTATGTATATATATACATATATATATATATATATATATATATATGTATATATATACACCTTGCTACGTGTACTGCGTTAGGCTAACCGAGACTTGTCATTTGCACTTATATATTGTTGCTCTTTTGTTAGTTTTGACTGCTTTTATTGTCCTCATTTGTAAGTCGCTTTGGATAAAAGCGTCTGCTAAATGACTAAATGTAATGTAAATGTAATGCATCATACAATGTGGCTTCAATTTCTGTTCTTTTTTTATATGATGGATAACTCTGATCTCGTCACGCCCACTTTGACAGACAGCACATTGTGTTCTTTCACTTTTCTTACCAGCTAAAATGTAGTTATTTATAAGGTTAATTGTTATTTAGTTTGTGTGGGTGGGTTGAATGAGGGGTGTATGTGTGTGCTATTGAAGCAAAAGCAGTATCAATACTGATAGATAATTCATGAAGTACACCACATAACTGCAGGCACATTTGTGAGCTTAACTGCTTTATTTTTTGTCTTTGTACCAATTTCCTGATTGAGACATGCATTGTGGTCACATGCCTTGTCTTGTTTCTGAACTGAAGCTGGAGCTACACCCATCTGAACGGCATGATGGGCGTGTGGGCAATAACTACTGTATGTCGCAGTCAGCGTGCATCCTTCATATTAGTGTCATTTTACTGCTAGCTCAATTACTGTATGCTTTTCTTCCATAAAAGAAGTATACAAACACTTTATAGGTACTACAGCTGATTGTTCTGGATGTTTTGGTATTTGCTTATAGAGAAAAAAAGTACATGTAGACACATTAAAAGAAAACATATAATAATCTATTTGTTCAATGTTCAGTCGGTTGGCACACCAACGAGATCTCAAGACCCACAGACTGTTTGCTGTCCCCATATCATGCAAGTTTTATGTGACATGAAACATTCATTTGTCTTAGACACTCAAACACAGATTTTGCAATTAATGAAGAAAATGCCCTTGCCCTTGCAACAGTTCCATCCACAAAGCAAAGGTATTCTGGGTGGTCGCTAGGAAGTTGTTGCTTACTGGTCCAATTGAAAAAAATCTCAGTGAGGTTTTTGTTCATAGATATTACTAGAAGTTTAAGAAATCGACCCTAAATGTGGTTGGAACTTTTTATGATGCGATTCTAAAGGGTTTACAGGCAGCGGATGTGGAAAAATAAGAAATTAAAAAGGTCAAAATAGGTCCTTACACAATTGAAAATTCTCCTCTAGTCTCATTGCTTCTGGAAAATACTGTAAATTACGTAGCATTAAATTACAAACTAAAGCGAACAAGAGAGAAAGAGCTCCATTAGCTCCACTATCCTCATTAGTGAGAATCAGCTTTACCAGAACAGTAGACGACTTTGAAATGTTGACAAGTGCTAGCAGGCTAGAAGGGTTAAGAGTTAAGTGCATTCAAGCATACAAACAACAGCTCTCAAACATCAGGTTGGCTTTGTGACAGACAGAACGGGAGGGAGAAACATTCTGCAGGACTGACTAATACATCCGCATGATATGCGTATCATTTAAAAAAAATTTTTTTTTACCATCATCCTTTGGTTATTCAGTATGTGCAGTATGTATCATGAAACTCTCTATAAATCACTTAGGTGATAAAATGGTGTGAGTGTTAGTTCGGACTGCAGGTTCTCAGTAAAATAAAGGAAGCATACTTGTCATTCCTATTCCTATCTACACCTGTACCTTTTAAACATCACTATTGCTCGCCTTAAATGTAGGGTTAGTAAACTTTTGAACAGAACTCATCTTGCACCGTTTGTGCTACAGACATGAATGATCCCTAAAATTAAGCATCTTGTTAAAAAGAATTGTTACCTTTTTAAGCAATCAAACTAATAGATTTTACTAGGCAGGCAATGTTGTTCTTTTGGATTGTCTATTTATTAAATAATCCTTAAAATGTATCACAGTTTCCACTAAAATATTGAGCAGAACTGTTTTCAAAATCAATGATAATAAGAACCATTATTGATAATTATAAGCACCAAATCAGCATATTAGAATGATTTTTGAAGGATCATGTGACTGGAGTAATGGCTGCTTTACCATCACATGAATTACATTTTAATAATATATTTAATTAGAAAACAGTTTTTTTTTTAATGTAATACTATTTCACAGTTTTACTGTTTTTTATCGTATTTTTAATCAAATAAATGCAGCCTTGGTGTGCATAAAAAAAAAAACGTTTTCAAGAACATTATTAAAATCTTAACTATTCCAAGCTTTTGATCAGTAGTGTATATTTATATAATTTATATTAATAATTTATTCTTTTTTGGTATTTATTAAATTATCATGTGCCTATAAAAAAATTTAATGTTATTAAAAATAGTAAAATAAAATAAAATAATAATAAAATAAAATAAAATAAAATAAAATAAAATAAAATAAAATAAAATAAAATAAAATAATAAAATAAAATAAAAAGGCCCTTACTAGAGCTGCCTCTTGCATCCGAGGGTGTTAGCGATCGCATTGCAAAGAACCAAAAACCACTCATCACATGGTTGTGATTTTTGCAAGGCAAGCACCACTCACTTCTCTTTAGAATGTGTAAAAGACTACACTGAAACTTGATAGTTCATGAACGCCAGACAAATGTTGTTGATGAATGCATTTAATTAGGACTATTCTTAAGAGTATGATTAATGAAAGTCAACATGTTCTGAAACGTTACACTGACTTTTTCGCTACTGATTGTATCTACTTAGACAGCGCTGCACAAGTTGCAGCAGCTTGGCTTCCTGTCAGGATGAATGTGACTGCAAACAGGTTCTATGACATCAGCAACCTCATAATTGCGCACAAATGCTGTGTGGCCAAATCTCTAGAGTTATCTGTTTGAGTCATGGGCTGCTGAACTTTTGGGGGGTGTTGAACTTTTCCTGAGTTGGAATGCTCCTGTAGGGGTGTGTTTGTGTTTTTATGTGAGCGAGTGAGGAGGAGGAGGTTGCCCCATGCCAGGGGGTAATGTGAGGGACAGGTAGAAACGGTGGAATGTTAATTTGTGCTTTTCCAACCTCCTCTTCTTCTCGCTCAGCTCTGTCACTTCTCCAGCTGACTCACAAACGCCTTGAGGGAATCTTCTAATCTGTCTTTCTTTCACTCTTTATCTCTGTCTGTCTTCTCACTCTTCTAAACGTCATTCCTCACATTTCCTGTGTCAAACGTCGTTATTCAGCCAATCAGCTTCTGGCATTCATGTTACAACCTCAGACATCAGCTGCTTTAGTATAAGGCTTATGGTGCCTTCAAGTTATGTTGGAAAAATCATATTTATGGGATGCACACCTGAATAGCATGACAATGTCAGTTTTAGAAGTAGTAAACAATCATTTCTCATCTTGAGAATAATAAAATGTATTCCTGAATTATGTGTAAATAAAACGTTTTTTAATACATAACTTTTTAACGCTCACTGGAAAGTAAAATGAATGAAAATTAGATAAAAAATAATGAAGTTTTAAAAATAAAAATAGATGCAAGACAGAAAATGTATAAAGTTACAAGTAAATTTTTCATTTTTTTAAACTGAGGCAGTAAAACGCTTCCATTTAATACATTTTTTTTTTTACAAATCATTACAACAGAAATTAGTTCTGCTCCTATTTCAAGAATGAGGCCTGTAATGCACATCCTTTGTTTTTTTATTGTTTTATTTTTGCACAGTAATTTTACTGAACACTTCCTATATTTATCAGTAAGAAAAAGAAATAGAAAATTTTTAAATCCAAAGCCAAAATCACAACACAATCATGTCATAGGTGCAATTTTTTAATTTAAAGGGGTCATATGATGTTGCTAAAAAGAACATTATTTTGTGTATTTGGTGTAATGAAATGTATTTATGTGGTTTAAGGTTCAAAAAACACATTATTTTCCACATACTGTACATTATTGTTTCTCCTCTATGCCCCGCCTTTCTGAAACGCGTCAATTTTTACAAAGCTCATCG